AGTAAGGAATAGGCACATTTAGTGTGTACCCTATAAGAGAAGGACTGAGCTTACGATCAAGTTGGAGTTTGCTTTATCACTCACCCTGAGTCGGCCGCTTGCTTCCCCACGCGGAACTTTCCTAGCAGTTGCTTGCTGACTGTCAGCGGTTTCTTTCTTTCTTTCTTTTGGGTTGTTAATTCGTACTGTTATATTTGTTGTTGTTTTGTTTGTGTTTCATATTAAATTGTACTTCTGACTCAGAGTCTCTCACCACTTTGCTTTCAAACCAGCACAGAATCTTATAGAAGTACTTTGGCAAAAAAACCCCTGATACTCGAGGTGTTTCACTTAAATCCACCATCCTGAGGTTGACTAGACATGGTTTAAAACTGATCTGTGTAGCAGTCATCAATCCAGGTTTATAACAAAAGCAAACTTGCCCTCACACAGTGGCAGAAGAAAACCCTGACTTAAGACTAGGCAGCATAAGAAATTCTAGAAAAAATTTCATGAGTTCTTGGAGAGGGCACTAATGGACATCTTTTCAACAACCACAAGGGACCACCAGAGACCACCAAAACCCCCAAGAAGCCACCGACTCAAAAGCGGCTAATTAGCATAAGTGAGAGAATCGCTAACCAGTAGAGGATAGAGTACTAAGTAATAACAGTTAGGTAACTTGCATCCGATGAGCACTAATTTCTTTGTTTCCTGACATGTATAAATAGTAAAAGTTTGGCTAGTTGGGATGCAGCTTAGAGGAGCTTCCCCCGTGCACCTGACACTGGACAAATAGTGCCTGTTCTTAATGCTACCCCGGTGCTAAGGGGTTTGGTTCCCGATTTCGGTGACACCACCTCAGTCTAGAATTTGTAAGTGATCTCTTGAACAGGTACTTGGCAGTGTTGTTGGTGAAAATGCAAACGAAACTTTTGGTGTATATTAGCATGTTCTTAATTTCTCCCCTTCCTTGCTCTCTGTGCTTTCAATTCAAGCTCGTTTATAAACTCAGCTTAACGCTGCTGATCTATTTCAGTGGTTCCATGTTTAATCTTCAGTGGTGGTGGTGTCCCCTGCCCATCCTCATGCTGCTTCTCATGTTAGGCAGTAGTGCATTTGGTCGGTGATGCAGAATGGGGTAAAGGTGAAGCTTGGGACAGCAGGAAAAGTACATTCACATCAGAATCGGTTTGCCAGGCTCTTTCTGTTTCTATACCCATGCAAAGACCAACTCAGTCTCCTGTGCTGGCCCAGAGCACAGTGCTTTGTCAGGGTCAAGAATGAACAGCTGGGGAGCAGGGGTGGTTCGTTGTTGCTACTGTTGAAAAATGTAAAAAATAGTCTTTTTCGTCAGGTGTGTAGCTGGAGTGTTGCGAGACGTGTTGACACTTCACTGTGGTAAAGTGATTTGCTGAATAAAGAGAGAAATTTGGTACTCTGAGCTCTGTTAGCTGCCTAACATACCAGAATGGGATTTCTTAATTAACCTTCCTGATAAAAAACGTTACAAAAGTTGTAGCCAAAATCTATAATTTATATATCAAAGGAAGCTGCACAAATGGGTAAAGTGGCACTTAGAGTCAAACTAGGCTTAACATCATAGAGTTCAGGTGAAAGAGGAATGCCATGATAACAAGTAGAGAACTGCTGGCTGAATTTCCAGAATGAAGAACCACTTTAGCAAAACCTGTGGACTTTTATTAGAGCACTGCTTTGTAGTGAGCTGCCAGTTAAATCTCCAGCATGTATTGGAAGAATGTTACAAAACAGTTAACCTAAATCTTGTGTGGAGCACTGACAGTATGGAATGAATTTCTTCTGTAGAAAGTGAAATATTTAATAGTTTCTGTACTTCTACATTTTATTGTAAAAGTGAAACAGGAATGGAATTAAGCCCATGCTAGTTTACTTAAGAATGGAAGTGTTGAATTAATACACTGGTGTGAAATTCATGGCACTGAGTGGTGCCTCTGGTGTTCTTTAAGGCCCCAAATCCATGCCTGCTGTCAGATGGAAGCTGTAGGTCTGGAATCTCTCTCAGTGTGGACTTGAATGACTAGTCTACTGTAGGCTTTTTTTCATGATGACTTCCATGACCTAAGTGATTATTTCAACCTAACTTAGTTTCAATTCCTTTCTGTTTTTTGGTTGTAATGACTGTGGTAATTTTCTTAAGGCAAGATGTTAGTGCCTGGCACTTCAGAGATTTTTCCTGGGTGATAAAAACAAGCCTCAGTGCTAATAAGACACTGTATTTTCTGCAGCTAGAGAAGGTGTCTGCTTTAAAATGTCTATATAGGTCTTTTCCATTTCAGTCTAGTCTACTCTCAGCTGAACCCCAAGTTTTGGACTTGACTTTGTCCTTTACATTCTCTTGAGAAAACTAATGCTTTAACCCTTTGGTTCTCAGCTCTTTCTTCAGCATGGAGCCTAGTACGTTACTGTCGTAGAATTGTACTCCAGTGTGTCTTGCAGAGGAGAGGAGGGAGAGGACCTTGCATATTTATTCCTATGTCTTTCTTGCTTTCCATTGCTTAATGTGAAGGCAGTCACAATATCAGTACAGGTCTGTTCTTCCTCTCTACAACCCACCTCACTAATTTTGAGTGTGTTACATTTCAGTTTCTCATGTGACATGGTTGAAGTCAGTTGTGTTACCCTGCTGGCGTGTATGTGTGTGTGTAACACCACTCACTCACTGTCACTGACTAATATTCCACACAAGAAGTGTTCAATCTGTTCTATGGCAACAAATCTTCTATGGGAATACATTCCCTTTAGAATAAAGGAATTAGTTTTTTATAAGAAGCAAGTTCTTAATAGGATTGAGACCAAAAGGTGTTTGACCTTGCCCAAAGAATATGTCACCAGGGAAGAACAGGTAAAGGTTACTTCAGTGATAAATGAGAATTAGCTTCTTTTTGCTCACACAGTATTGACAGGAAAGTATTAAAGCATCCTTTCAAAAGTATTTATCCTTGCAAGTTGTCTTTGAAGTTGTTTAATATATCTGAGTTTGTGTAAGCATAATCAGATGTTTATTTTTTTCCCCCAGTCGGTGTTATCCGCTGTCCAATTTGTGTTCAGGAATGTGCAGAGACACACATCATAGATAACTTTTTTGTGAAGGATACCACAGAGGTTCCCAGTAGCACAGTAGAGAAATCAAATCAGGTAAGTGCATTACCATGTAATCAAGTTAACACCTTTTGGATGTGTATGTATATCCTTGGCTTCTTGCTGTGTGGCCTTTTTGCTCTTCATGTGCAGGAAAAGCTTCAAGTACTTAGACAACACATGAGTAGCTACTTGAGAAAATCAGTTAAGTGAAAATGCATGTGAAGAAGGTGATTATCTTATTCTAAACTGGTTTTGATTGTTGGTGTAAAACTACATCACAATAGCAAGAGATAAAAGTGAGGAATAGATCTTAGAATGGGAATTTCTTTACTTTGGACAGTGTGCTTGAAGCATTCTTTGATGCAGAGACCCAAACAACACTGCATCAAGAGATCTCAGTGTAAAACAGAATCCACTGTTTGAACTGACTACAAGTTTCTAAGCTCAGTACTGACAGAACATGACATGGACTCCAGGTGCCATGAAGGATGCTCAATTCCAATTGGGGGAGATGGTGTGTTGTAAGGGTTTCTTGTTTGTTTTTCTTGTGTAGACTGCCTCTTCTTCCTTCTGTAATCAAGTAATAGCCATCTCATAAAAGCTGCTTATTGGAAAAATAGTAATATTGGAGTTTTTTTCAGGAGTAAACTACTAGTGTGGAAGCAGTACCAAATGAATGGTTACGTTTGTGTAGGACCACAGTTTGTTATCAAAATACTGCATGTCTTCATTTTTAGCCTCTAAGAGACTATCTCATGTCTCTCTTTACTCATAAACTTTTATTGAACTCTAGGCCCTTGGTGTGAATAATCCAGCCTCTATGTGTTACTGCAGTCCTCACAACAAGAACATTAAAAGGTTGCTGTGTCACCATGGCTTGCTTTCCGACGCAGCCCCGAATGGATGGTGGTCTCCTTGTATTTTGAAAATGCCTCTTTCACATTCCTGTTTCAGTGACCTGTTTCATTGGCTCTTGATCCATTTGTTTTTGGGGCAGTGGCTTAGAGGTCATTTGTTGTGCGGTCTGCTGGTTTGAAGGCTGGGCTGAAGCGCTCATGTCCATGAGCAGATGTGTCTCTGGGGAGGTGGCAGTGCCCAGTCAGGGCTGTGGGAGCAGCTAGCTGACTCTTGCAGGTGTAAGCGTTGTCACCATCTCTGAGGAAGTAAACTGACACCTTGAGAACCATTAAACTATGTTCAGTTTATAAGGAATTTTGAAACTGGATTTCTGAGAAGTCATAGACCTTACCAGAAACTGAAATTGAGTTGTGAGGCTCTGGAAGGACAGGCAGTGTCCTTGCAGTGCAGGACAGTTTGAATTGCATTTTTTTGAGGGTTTGGGGAGGGAGAGGTGTTGATTTGGATTTATATTTATCCCTCTGGGTGTCAGAGGGTAATACCTTGAGGTTTGGTGATGGTTGTGAGCATTACACAAAATCTCTCAATACTCTACCAGTAAGACTGCCTGGTGAAGGTTTAGTCATAACTTTGTTATCTAGAAGTCCTGAATGTTAGGGTTTTTTAATTGGGCCTGTGCCATGTTCTCTGCTTAGTTATGTAATGAGTCCTCTAAGATATCACTGCCAGCAGTGGTGATAGAAGTGGAATTCTTTCTTTTCCTGGGGACAGTGTGTGCTGGTTTGAAAGCAAACCAGTGAGAGGCTCCAAGTCAGAAATACAGTTTAATAGGAAAAACAAAACAACAAATGAAACAGTACAAAAAGAAACCCCTGACAGAGTCAGAAAGTAATCTGACACCCTGTCAGTCAGGGTGTAGTAGTAGTCCGATTAAATGGTGGCTGCAGCCCTCCTGGAGTGATGGGTCTGTTGGAGCAGTGATCCCGCAGATCCTGTCCTCTCCCGAAGGTCCAGTGGCAGCTCTTGTCCTCTGGGAATCCAGCAGGCAAAGGGAATCTGTGCTGGTCCAAACCCCAGCTTATATCCCTGTGGGAATGCTTGGCTCCCCACCCCCATGTGGGAATGCTTGGCTTGCCCCCTTGGGGTGAAGCATCTCCCAATGGGACAATGTAATTCTATGGGTCATGCATAGGTCCCAGACAGCCCATTAAACAGAGACAGCCCCTGAGGGAGCCATCAGGGATGAATAGGAGATAACTACCACTGCCCCCACCTGTCGCAACTGCTTGTGGAGACAACAACAGAACACATACCACAGGTTATCCCCTACATTGTAACCTAGTACACAGTGACAATTTTATTTTTTCATGTCCTCCCCCCAGACCTCTCCTCCCCTCCCAATTTTTGTCAGATTTCTGTCAAAGTTAAGCGGGGAATTCCATTTCTTGAGTGGTGTGAGCAGATGTTGGGGAGATTCTTGAAAGTATATCCTTACTATCCCTTCTCAGCCTTCTGTCTTACTCTTCCATTGTGTATCAGTTTGTCCCTTGCGGTTAGAGAGCAAGTCTGTTCCTCAGCTAAGCTCCCTTGCTAGACTCAGCACCCTTTCTGCAACCCCCGCTGAACCAGCAGAACAGAACATTTATGTGCTTTTCCACTGACTTATCATCAAAAAAATGGAGCTAGATGTTTGTTGATGCTGCTACGTGAGCATGTACCTTGCCTCGTGGAAGTTAATCATGTGCAGTTTTCTTTGTTTGAATAGATTTATTTTGGTCTGAGAATAAAGTGTTTTGTACCTTGACATAAAAAAAGCTGCAGCGTTCTGTAACCATCTCTGTTGTAGAACAGCAAGGTTAAATCAATAATAGTTAAACAGATTAGTGTCCTCTTCAAGGGGAATATTATGAGGTTTAAAGATGATACGTCCTTCTAATTGGCCTGTCTTGTTTTGCTTTGAAGGAAGAAAGACAAGAGAAAGAAAAGTTGCCGTTAGCAAGATAAGCAACAGATCAGAGGAATGTGGGTGGAAAAGACAGTGACACTTGCAGGAAATATTAGATCAGAGTTCATCCAAATTCTATTGAAAACTTTAGCTATTTTATAGACTTTTTCTACTGAGATGGTTAGTTTGTTTTTGGCAGCTTTATCAGGATGTGTAAGAAATGAGTTCTGTGTGAGTGACGTTGTGGCTTGGAACCACTGGTCTGTACCTATGACTTGCCTGTGTATGTGTGTCGTCAGCAAGGACTGGTTCACTTCCCTTCGAGGGAACCTGCAAAAGATCTATTTCAAAGTACACGTTTGGTTGTTTTCAGATTTACAGTGGTACTGATACTAAAATAGCTTTTAGCATATTGGATTGAAGCTGTAGGAGTTAATGGCATGTCAGGGAGTCATTTGGCACTGTGGGGTAAGGAAAATAGAGGGAACCCATTGGGGCACTACCCATCTATCTAAACCCACATTTATCTTAACTGAGCCTGCGGGTGGCTGTTCGGTACCTTACTTACACAGCTGTGCCTTCTAGTTTGTACTACTGAAACTTCTAGGGCGAAAGAAGTGAGCATGAAGAAAGTATAGAACTCTGTTATATGCTCCACAAGGGCTTTCCTGGCTAACACTAAAGATTTTGTGCTGGTTATTAGCATAAGAAGCTTTGCAGAACAAAAGAAACTAACAGGAAGTGCAGTTGTCATCTTGACAGTAATCATTTTAGGTTGTAGGCATCTAGGGCATAAATACTTTGAGAGAGCAGATGCTTTATAATACTTTTCACATTGTGATTTATTGAAAGACTTGGCAAAATTATCAGCTCCTAAAGAGAAGTTTGAAGATCAAAATGAATTATATTTCATTTATAACAGTGAGCAGAAAGGAACTTCAGACCCAAGAGATGGTACTGAAGCAAGTACTGGATTTGAATGGTACTAAGGGGTAAGACAAGTGAAGGAAAGGCAGGAACGTTAAAGGCAGAAATAGTTTAACGTGTGTGCAAAAGCCATAGAAGTAAATTTAGCGGTGTGAGATTGATGCAGGAGAGATCACAGTGATAACGTGGATGTTGCTGGAGCATACTGAGCCTCTAGTGCATTTTAGTTTAGGTCCTAATATCCTTTAGATACTTTCTGTATCCAAAAGAGAATGTGGGTAAAAACACTTTTGGTAATAAGAATAACTTTCTGTATCTTTTAACCAGTTCCTGACCTGAGAGTTTTCAATATTGCATTAGGAATGGAGACCAGCTGGGCTGTGTGTGAGCTACTGGGGATGTAGTGACAAAACAAGGTACGAGCTGAGACCTTATACTAGATCCAGATACTAGGAGAGCGAGTCTGACTGGCATGATGAGGTGATTAATTAGGACAATAAGTTTCTCAAGTTTTGTGTGGTGCCAGAGGAGCCACTATGTATTTTTCCAAAGAAGAACTAATATGTTTAAACAGCTTATAAAATCCATACCTGCAGCTAAAACATCTTTGAAAGGCACTGATTTAGGGCAAGGAGTGACAGGCTCAGGTGAATCACTTGATGGCTCTGTTGTGCTCTGAAGCAAGGCAGCTGTTCATGGAGGGGGAGAAGGATGTGTTCATGTATTCTGAGGTATCAGCACTTGGATCGTGTTTAGGGCTTCCTGTAGCCAGGGATGCCCCAAAAGTCATTGCTGTCTCTGGTGATTTTGTGTGTGCCAAGGGATAGTTATATAGCTATTAACATCAGTGGGTTTGGATCCGATGAGTTCCTTTGAAACGTTTGTTGGATTATTTAATCTCTTTAACACTCAAAGGGTGTTTAGTTGGACGAGTGGTTAGTTTGACTGCAGTAGCTGCGAAGGCAGGTCCTCTTGATGCCAAGAAAACCTGAAAAAGAACTGCTCACAGACTTGTATCTCTTGAGTAGCAGGTGTTTGCTTATTCAGCGCTGCGCTCAAGGGGAATTGTTCCACCAAACTTGTGCACTGAAGAGAACACTTCTCTAGTTTATATACACTAAAAGCTCATACATATTCATTATTTCCTGCAGTAGCTGCGAAGGCAGGTCCTCTTGATGCCAAGAAAACCTGAAAAAGAACTGCTCACAGACTTGTATCTCTTGAGTAGCAGGTGTTTGCTTATTCAGCGCTGCGCTCAAGGGGAATTGTTCCACCAAACTTGTGCACTGAAGAGAACACTTCTCTAGTTTATATACACTAAAAGCTCATACATATTCATTATTTCCAAGAAAAGAATCATCCAGGTGTCGTCAGGTGGAAGGCTGATAGTCTTCATCAGATTGAACTTTTCACCTTTGAGTTCAGCACACGCTCTTTGGTCTTGCTTTTCGGGTGCCAGGTCCTGAGTCCACTTACATCTAATTTTACTTCCTTGTAAATACATTATGTTTACGCTGTATAAGCTAAAATAATACCCTAAGTTCTACACTTTTCATGCTTAGTAAACTAAAATAATGCCTTATTGCTCAACCTCTTACCTTCTGTTTATTCAGGTGCTCTCTATTTAACTATCTTCTACCTACTCTTAGCCTTAACTATTCGATTCCTGTTATCACTGTTACTTCAACTCTTGCATGTAAATCTGTTTTCTGGTGTAAAAGCTTTTTATTTACTTAAAACTGTACTTCCCTGCAGCATGCTGAGTAATGTCAGCGTTCGTTGAATTTGTCTGAGGGCTGAAGGAACACGTCCTGGGGTTACAAATTGTAGAACTAGTAATTGAATTAAATGCAATTACATATCTGTCTGAGCAGAATAAAGGCTTCCAGGTTACCTAGGGAGAGTTGTCTTTGAAATCTCTGAAACACTGCTGTGTGAGTCACAAAAGTGAGAGTGATTTTAGGTGTTGTAAGAGCATAACAAATATTTGCAGTAATTGCACTTTTATGTACTTTAGCTGTATGACTTATTCTAAGAACTAGGAGTTCTAGCAAAATCCAACCTGCATCTGAAAATGCATGTTTCGAATCAGAACTGGATAGAAGCAAATCTGGTCCCTACCTAGAAGGCCTAGCTGTTTTGACAGCTCGAGTTAGGATGTCTATGAAAAGCTTTAGAAATCTGTCTTGCTTCCACTTGATGGCTGTGAAGAGGATAGAGTTGGTATGTCTATTTTTGGGACTACAAAGGAAGAGTTTTGATTCATTTGGCAGTATCTGATTATTGGTTATTGAATTAAAATCTTCATCTCATTCTGCATATAGCAGGTCAGACCAGCTGGAAAAAGTATATTGAAACAAGGCAATAGACAAAGTTCTTGAAATCTGCAAGGAATTAATAGCTTCAGCAAGTCTTTGAGCTTACCTAAATGCCCTGCCATGTAGCAAGTTCATCTACCAAATTTTGCTAAAGGTGACCTGGAAAGGCTCTTGTGGTTTTTTTGTTTGATTTTGTTTTCAATTGGGTTACTACCTTCTTTGCCTTTTTTCTTGTCTTTGTTTTGCTTCTTCGACTTAAAGAATGTCTGAAAGACTTTTGGGGTTGGTTTTTTTTTTTTTTTTTTTTTTTTTTTTTTTGTTTTTTTTTTTTTGTTTGCTTATTTTGTTTCCATTGTTGGTCTTTTTACTCTAGAAAACCAAATATCCATCTCTTATTCTCCAGACTGATTTGCAGAAACACCTCTGGGTGTCAGGGGCATGGCACAGCCATACCTCTCTGGCAAGGAGACTGAGTACAAAGCTTTCTCATCCCACAGTAGTTCACTGCCTAGTCAGCAGTGCTGGTGTGACTGAGCCCTGGGCCACAGTGATGTAATCAGTTCTGTTTTACACTGTGGTTTGCAAGAGGGTTGCGTTGGCACACCTAAGGAGGAGACAGCTGACAGGTGAGAAAGGAAGGACTTTCATGGGAGTTTCTGCCTGAGGAAATGGGATGTGGAAGTACTGCCTCAGTGATACTGGGTTGTTCCCATTGTCTCTTTTCAGGGGGCTGTGCTGAGTCCTTAAGAATACTTCCCTTTCATTTTTGCTAAACGTGATTGAAATGAAGGGTTCACAGCAAATGTCATGATTTAACCCCAGGCAGCAACTAAGTACCACACTGCTGCTTGCTCTGTGTTCCTCCCTCCAGTGCAGGAGGAGAACTGGGGCAAAAACTTAAAATTTGTGGGATGAGCTCAGAGCAGTTTAATAATTGAAATAAAACAATATTAAATAATGATGATATAATAGTAGTGATGAAAAGGAGGGAGAGGAATAGAGTCCAGGACAGAGCAGTGATGCCAATGCCACTGCTCACTGACGGCCCAGCCCATCCCCAAGCAGCGATCAGTCCTTCCCAGCCAACTCCCCACGGCTGGTCTGCTGTGATGTTCCATGGTGTGGAGCATCCCTTGGCAAACTGGGGTCAGCTGTCCTGGCCATGCTCCTTCACTGGCAGAGCATGAGGGGCTGAAAAGTCCTTGACTTTGGGTAGGCACCACTTCGCAACCACCAGAACATCAGTGTGTCAGCAGCACTGTTCTCATACTGAATTGCAGAGTACTGCAGTGTGCCAGCCACTGACTTTTTTTATGATGTTCTGATCTTGGTATTTCGCCCTAGTCTGGATGGGACTAAGAGTTTTTATTATTAAGAGGAGGAAGAAAAACCAAGGAGAAGAAAACAAAATTTTTGAGATTATTTTAAAAAGTAAAACTTTCAGGCCTCTTTTCTTGTGAAGAAATAGAAAAAGGGGCACAAGCCCATTTTTTCTCCTTTGCAGGTCACCTTTAATGAAAAGAAACTGCTTCAAACTCCAAGTGGCAACCAGAGGGGTCAACAACCCTTGTGTTGTAGCTTCATTTCTCAGAAGATATTTGCTTTGAGAGGCAACATGATCCAAAGGAATGAGCACAGCATTGGGAATCTGGAACTCCTGTGTTCAAATTTCAGTTCTGTCAGTAACTTGCTATGTGGCCTAAGGCAAGTTTAGTGCTGATTTTCCTCTTTTTCTTGAAGGGAAAACTGGGACACAGTTGTGCATGTATGTTTCTGCCTGCACGGGATGTAAATATTTGCTTCCTCTTCAACTTAATCTATATTTACCTTGTGTGAGTGCAGAAGTTGCTTGGTTGTGGGGTTTTTTAATCAAACTGAAAAGAAAACTATAATCTTGAAATTTTCTCCTTGTTGTTGCTGTTAGCAAAATTCTGTCGCTGTGATCTGTAGGATATAGCAATCTTCAGCTTCCTTGAGGCTTTGGTTTTCAGCAGTGCTAGATGTTGGCAGAAGTGGATGGTAGTTACCTAAACAAGTGTCTGCATGAGCATGTTAGTTTTTTTACTACCAAACCCCCCTTGAAGGTAGGGACTGCAGAGGCATCGTAAAGGAGGAGTGAAAATCAAAGTAATATCATGGACATATGAAATGGTGTTGCCCATCATTCAAAATTTTCAACTTACTGTTTGAATTGCAGTTTCACAGGAGTCTTCTCTTGTGTATATAATGACTCTGTGCAGAGAGCTTTGGGTCTGCTATCATGTTTATTTTCCTTAATTTTTTTTTTCTAATTCTCTTGAGTGTAATCCAAAGAGCCCTAGGAATTAACAGGCCACAGTTTGAAAATATTTTGTGTTGGTTGCAAATCTGTTCTAGGTTAACATTACTGATAAGCTTAACTGGAGTGCTGTCTTTAAGTGGTGTTGCTGAGGTTCTTGAGAGGGACCCTGTTGTTCAGAACTGTGTGTGCTTCCTGAAACTCTAACCACGTGACTAAAACTAAAGTTAAAGGTGCTTGTATTCAGCTTTGGGCCCCTCTCTATCCAAAGTACATTGAGGCACTGGAGAGAGTGCAGCCAAGGGCAACGAGGGCAGCAAAGGGCTAGAGCACATGGGGAAGGGCTGAGGGAGTT